GCGGGCCAGGTGCCCCCGCCGCCTCCGCTCCGCTCCCCCGCCGCGCCCTGGGCCGCAGCGGAGAGGTGTGGGGCACCTGCCCCTCCCGCACAGATTGCTGCGGGGGCCTTCGTGCAAGCAGGAGGCTTGAGAAAAAGAATAGCTTCGCTTGTTGGAGGGGTGTGTCGCGCCCAGGCATCTGTACGTGGGGAGTGTTGCTATGGGTCTGTTTTAAAATAATAAAACAGTAGTCTTATCCCACTAAGGGAATTTTGCTGCTGATAGCAGGCTAGCGACTGGAGAAGCAAAGGCAGATCGGTTTAATGCACGTTTAGGGGTTGGAGAAGTGACCAGTACTTACCATTGGCACATAAACCAAAGCTTTAGTTGAACTAAACAGTTATAGATAGGCTTTAAGAGGAGTTAAGCATGTTTATTCTCAGTTCAGCAACTGTAAAAGAAAAATCACTTTTCATCTAGATAGCTACAACTCCAGTGTAGCTTCCATAGTGATGCAAAATGGGGAACACAGGTTTGAGGTGACCAGAATACTCTCTTAAAAAACCAAAACAGTTCTGAAGCATATCTTTTCAGATGTAAAAGGTAATTCAGGTCAGTTTAGCTAGTATGGAAAATGATCTCAGTGAAGAAGTGTGAAAAGTCATTTTCCCTACCCTTTTTTATTTTACATTTTCTCATATCTTTGTTTTGCATCTCTTTTAAATGATGTTTGTTAACTGCAGTCTATGGCTTGCATCACTACCGCGTAATTTTTCATGGAGCTTGTGCAGTCCCTTCCACAGTTCTGAAGCAATCCCATGCAATTGCTAAAGCTGGAAGTTTGGAAGTGACCTAGTCCTCTAATTTGATCTTCATTTTTCTGCATTTCTGAGATTCTTTTTAAATAGCAGTTAGTGACAGTAAGGAGTATTTTACTAAGTTGCTAACGATTCTGTGCACTGTTAAAGGATGTTGCCTCACTGGAGATAAAAAAAAAAAACAAACAACATTTTAAAAAACTTAGATATTAAAATATGAACCAAGTGAATGGCTGCAAATGTTTCTTTAAGTTATTGTCTTTTTCAGAATTGTTACTAAATGAACAGCATTTCTTTAAGTATCTGTTCTGTTGTCACTGTGGGAGAAATGATGTATACATATAGAATAACATACTTCATAAATTGGTGTGGGGTTTCTGTGATTTTTCTTAGGGAAGTAATGGGTTTTGATTATTTTGTTGAACTCGTGTAATGAGGCAAGGCTGTAATTTGCTATAGGTAAGAATTCTGCCTTACTACAGTAGATTCTTGGATAAATTAATCCAAAGTACAGCTCCATGCTTGTTGCTAAAGTGTCTTCATACTGGTGCTCTGAAATGCTGGATCAGTATCATCTC